CAAGCCAAGCGGGTTTTGAGGCGGGGGCTGCGGGTGTCTGCTGCTCTGTTGCTGTTGTAGGAGGATTTGTGCCACGCGGGAAAAAAATCTTCCCATATAATGATGGGAAAGAACAAAGGTCTCTGGGTTTTTTTCTGTTTTCTTTCAGACTGATGTAATATGTAGTCAAATTCAGTCGGTTCAAATTCAAATGAGAGTCAGTGCTACCCTCTTGTCTGCTCTCCTGTCCGTACTCGCATGGCGTGGGGGGGAGAGGCTGTGCCAGTGCCTCCCGGCTGGGCACGCTGAGAAAATCTGTTCCTTTTCGCAAGCACTGCTCTTGCACACTGCAGAAAAGTGGACAAGTAGGGTCCTGGAGTAACTAAGGTAGAGATGCTGCAGACAGCAAGAAAACCTCCCAAACTGTTTGCTCACTGGCGTGGTTTTGGACGATTCAGACTTAAACACAAATCCCTCTAATGAATTAAGACCTGATCACCGTGTGATTCTTACCTTTCAAAACTGGAAAACTGTTTTGTATGAAGAGGGAAGTAAAAGTAATGCATCTACCATGGTTTTTTAAAAAATCCTAAAAAAATACTTTGAAAATAGGAGAGCTACAATGAGACCTCTGTGAAAAATGGTACATTTAGGCTAAGGTTCCATACTACACTGAGCTGCCCTAAGGGCAGTTGCATGTTCCCATGCTCTCCCTGCACATGCCCACCGCTGCCCTTGTCTTGCCACTGGTGCTCATCTGAACGTGTGGTAGCCCACTCAGAAAGCTAAAGCCTCACAAACCTGATCATGCCAAAAAAAGTGAATTGTTTCTTGGCTGGCCGGGCCGGCTCGCACAGGCTGGGGGGGTGTCGGTGGGGAGGGGAAGGAACGCGCAGTCAGGGGAAAGGGGAGAAACAGGAATCCTGCTTTGGCAGCAGGTCTGTGCCACTGAGAAGTCATGCTGCATCCTGAGAATAAGGTTCATTGTACTTACGCTTTCAAACAGAAATTTGTATTCTCCCATTTTATTTAAAGGAAGCGTTTTTAAAAATTTGAAGTACAGTTTGACACTCTTCTTTAGTTGAAGTTTGTGGTCATCTTGTAGTAACACTGGCTGGCCTGTTTCATGTACAGTTTCTCGCTGGGCTCAGTTGCTGCCTCTCCCTTGTTGTTAGGAAAGTGCTGCTGCTTGTGAGGAAAATATCTCAGAGGGAATGCCTAAACCTCAGCACAGATGTCTTTTCATTATTGCAAGCTTTCCTGTTAACACTGATGTTCATTCTGATAGGGATTTAATACACGTTGTAGCATCTGGTTTCTAAGTACCTGATGAGCCTGGGTTTGCTCTCCAGTTTGCAGACAGGAGAGTGCTCAGATGGGGGAACACGGTTTTTCAGGTCTTAAGCCCACGTGGATGGAGGCGAGGAGGTGTCAGCCAAGCTGATGTAGATACTGGGGCCCCGGAGCACAGGGGACACCACAGGGGAGAAAAAGGAGCAGCAGCCGCGGAGGGCAAGGTTTGCGGGGGCCGTTGGCGCAGGCAGGCTGTGGCACGGCCATCGTTTTGAGAGCTGTTTTCTGTGGGACTGGACTGAATCATCTTCAGCACGGAACGGACCTGTGTAACGTAGTGCGGCCACGGGATTGCACAGGTCACAGACTTGGGTATTGTTTCTCATAGGTTAGGTAGTAACCTATCACCCATAGCCCATGGGGAAACAGCTGGCTTGGCATGGAAATTTTGCTGGCAGCCTCTAATCTAAGACAGAATATTAAACTTTGGAGGAAATGAATTTTTTTTCATCTGCTTAATTATGAAATCAGTTCATGAGAAGGAGGTGCATGTTTAGGTTGCTCTGCTGTTTCAATTGCGCAGATAGCGCCCAAAAGATCTGTTAAAAAATTGTCGTCCTCTTGTATGACATCTAGCTCGCAGGCAGATATGCTGCAATTGCAATAGTATTTGGGGGTGCAGCTTCATACCGGCTTTCTGAAGGCTCCCCCATTTCCAGTTTCTGTTGAGGAAGAGCTAACTTCTCTCCAACAAGCATCTGAGCAGCTATTCTAACATCAAGAAGAACAAACAATTGCTATCGGCTTGTGTCTATTAGCACATCTACTTTAAAAGTGGGTCGGTAAACCTGGAAGGTTCTTTTCTAGAGACTGTGCAACTGTAGAAATGGGAAAGCAAATTCTAACGCGTCAGTGAGGCTGGCTGGGAAGGTGCATGTCATTGCACGGCCAGGCGGAGTAGACAGGCTGTGAAGCCAAGCTAGGATCAGAAGCTAGGAATGGATCTTCTGCACAAATGCCTCATCTGTACTATTTGTCTTGCCAAAAAAATAGTGTGAGGGTCCTTTCAATAGCTCCAAAGAGTCTCCAAGAAGGTTGTTTCTGCTTTTCGTGAAGGAATCTTACATAGGAAACTGAACTTTGGCCACTTTTAAATGCATGCCTTAAAGCGTTGTGCGAGTTGCCAGAACTGTGTTTGTTACTTTAGCACCTCCATTAGGGCAGGTTCTATAAGTGTCTGTTGTACGTTTAAAACAGTTGCTGCCCAAGGTGGATATGTTAGTGTTAGCCATTAATGCTACTCATGATTATTGCTCTTCTTTTATGTCTCTTTTACGTCTTCTTTACGTGACTTTTATTCCCAGATCTTAAGAACTCCCTGACGGAGAGCACTGCTGGGGTGCTTCATCTGTATTCTGCCGCTACTATCTAACGAGTTTTCACTTGTCCTTCAGGCTGCACGTGCCATAAAAGCAAAGCAGTCTTGCACGTCAGTACTGAGTGCAGCCCTATGGAGAGCAGTTACTTCCTTTTGAGCAATTATTTCTTATTTCCTTTTATTTCCTCCTCTCATATTGATCATTATCATAGTAATACAGGCTGGTCTGGGAATTTCCTTTCATCAGAGGAAAATTTCTAGGCATCCATTTTCCCTTTATGATTTCAATTTCCAGTAGGATTGGGAGGAGGCAGCGTAGACGTCCCTGAAATACAGCGGTATCAGTAGGACACTTTTGGTAGTTATATTAACAGTGAAATAATCACAGCAAATCTAATGGCAAATAATTTTAGACATGCAGACCAAGAACTTAGTAGGGCTTCGTGTGTGGTCTCCTAACACAGCAGTGGCATTGCAGCATGGGACTCTGCAAAGGTATGTTAAAAGGCCTGAAGATTTACATTAGCAAAGAAAATTCCCCCAGCTCCTGTGTCCTTGTCCCATGGAAGAGGCCACCTCTAAGTGTGAGAATGTCATTGCATTTTCAGTCATATTCATTGAAAATGTCACCTCTAGCTGCAAAATATTTTCTAGCCTGTTCTTACTTGCATCACTGTTCGTGGCTTGGTTTGCTCTAAAAATAGAGTTGTACTTTTAACGTGTTGGGGACTGGGGAAGCTTCACCTCTTGCACAGTCGCTCTCCTGTGTGAGCTCCGGAGAGCGTGCGCAGGCTCAAGTTGACTGGTTTGACGTGGGGTCTGGAATGAGGACAGCTACAGTTTCTCCACAGCTGAGCTGGTTGCGTGAGTCTGCTGGGTTTTTCTAAGTGAAAGTCACTTTGTCTTTGTGAAGACTTTCACTGGTCATCCTCCTGGCTCTTTTTGACAGATTTTTTTTCTTTCCTGTTTTGCTCTGTGAGTACAATGTTTGTGTTTTATCAGTCCCCTGTCTTGGTATTCAGTAAACGCTGTGTTATGATAAAGATTATGATAAATTATGGCAGTAAGTATAGTAATAAATGTAGGCATAGTGTATATAGGCTATTGTGGAAGAAATTAGTTTCTGTTCTGCAGTTTGGGAAAAAAAAGGAGTCACGCATCTGTTTTGTGTAGAAATTTCCTTATCATCCTGTGGTATCGCCTTGTTCTCAGATGAAAAAGCCATAGAGTTTTGTGCAGGAAAGCCTTTGTTACGGATGGCATTGTCCAAATGAATCAAGTGATAATGGAAATAATTTAAAGTTTAGAAGCAGAATAATAAAATCATGGAAGTTCTGCAAGTGTTTTGATGAGTTTCCTCAGTCTGTTGCACTGATGACTTACAACTGAGGAGGCAGAGCAAAGCAAGCAGCGAATTTGAATAGGTATGTATGTGAAGTGCCTTGGAATCCTAATCTTTGAGTGTACGTGCAAAAAAAATAGTTTTAAGAAACAGGTCTGTTTCTCTAGCCTAGCATGCTACATTTTAAGGTGCTTTAAAAACATTTCTCTCTACTGACCATGCTTGATTTTAAGGTACTTTTAAAACATTTCTTTCAAAGCAGTCTTTGCCTTTTGGTTGGTGTCTGTTGTAACGTGTGCTGGAGTACACGCAGACGTACAAAAAGTGTAGTATGGGAATCCTCTCCTCTTCAACAGACCCAGTAATTTCTACTATTTGCCGAGTTTAGAGCCTGCTGGCATGTACTCACGCTAAACATCGTTATGTTTTTGAGGCATCTGGTGAGTGTTCTGTGATTCTGTGAAGTTATATTCTGCTCCTGTTCCTGTGGGAATGTTACAGTGTTGGCCATAGGGCTTTATGAATTGTCACAAAATGAGCGGTTGATTCCTGACATCTGCTGTGCTGAAGTGACTGCCAAGTTGCATTGGTAGTTGGCAAGGAAATAAATATTGATAGACCCTAGCAACAGGTACTCCTGAGAACTCTTGTTCTGGGAATGCTTAGGCTGTGTCCAGTGTTATTAATGTTGTGATAGCATTTTCAGCTTATTTATAGGATTTGTTTGTGTCTTATCACCATCTCTCAGAACTGGAATGCGTGAATGGGCTTTGCTGCGCGAGGGCATAGACGTGTATCATACGCCCTTCTCTGGTGATTCTTTCGACATATAACAGATGCTTCACTGCCCAAATCTCAGGGGCAGCTGACGTACACCGATGTACGACATCTCAAGTATGCACTCATATCTAGACTCTCGTATGTTTGCTATCTATCCTGTGTTGGAATGACTACTCCAGAGCTATGTACATATAAGTGTATGGGATACAAGAATTTCTTTCTTTTTAGTAATGTATTAACAAAAGAGCCATATACAAGAGCCTCTGAAAATCCATCAGATAAAATTAGCTTGCTTTTATTGTGAAAGCACTAACTCTTGTGAGCACTGTAAGCGAACAATTTTATGTTCTCATTGCAGAAATTGAAGCCAGAGAAGCCTGCGCCTGGCTGAGAGCTGCTGGTTTCCCCCAGTACGCTCAGCTATTTGAAGGTATGATCCCAAAGACTTGTCAAGCAGCTGACGCTCAATTCAGGTAGAATTGTTACGTAAATAATCTTTCAGAACCTGACCCTTTTGATGGAAGCACTTCCAAATTCTGTAATATCTTCATGCAAACCTGTAGAAAAAGAGTAATATCTGGTGTGTGTTCTTGCAGAAGTGAGATCTTAATTAGGTTAGCATGGACTCAATAGAATTCTGTAAAGGACCAAATCTTTCCTCGTTATTACTGTAAACAGTAACTCAGTCAAATTTCTGCTTTTGTGCTTTTTAGTCGCTTATAATTTTCTCAGGCTCTTTTCCTTGGGGTGTTGGGGTTTTTTCCGACTCACTGATTGCAACCAAAACTCATCTAAGGCTCCCCAGCCTGTGGTCTTGAGCAAGATTGTTTTCTATTGAAGAAGAATGTTGGAAAAATCATCTTGCAATCACAAGTTTTTAAAACAGATACTCAGAAGCAGCCAGCCACAGTCAAACAATGCAATTTCAGCACGTTTTCATGTTGTTAAAGCTACAAAGAGTGCTTATTACTTGTGGGGCAGATAGGGCTTTGTTGAGAACGGGTATAATTTTCAGACATTTATGCTTATACCTTAAAACTGTTCTTCTTTAAAATATGTTTATTGTTACAAACATTGAATGTAAAGAAAGCTAATCTATTTTTAAGAGAGATTTTATCAAAGAACTACAGTTAAAAAACAAACAGTAACTTCTGCCTGCTCTCATTCCCACCTCCCCTATTCACTGCAAAATTAAAAATTGGAAGTCAAGCAGGAGAGCCAAATTTGAAAGCTGTATACTATGAAACATGATGTCTCGTGGAAACGCTTCCTGTCTGACTGCAGCGGATTTTATTATATAAGCTGTCAATCTTACAGTTTGTTGGAAATGTACATTGTCATGCTTCTGGATACCAAATCCTCTGTATTACCTTGCTGTTTATGCAGTGTCCTGACTTGACTAGGTAAATTATGTTTAAAAAGTAAGCCAAGAAAATACTGACGGATCTCACTGGTTCCCTCATCTGCAAGGCTAAATCTCAGCAGCTGGATCATTCAACTCTTCAGCTGGTGTGTTGAGTAGCTCCAAGCACAGCATGATTTGTCAGGCTCACTACACCTCAACGAGCATATGTCACCTTACCATCGGCAAAAGCTCATGTACAATACTCCTAGTTTTATACTGTACTTGAAGGCAGAAGGTGCAGAGAACCTAACCAAAGCAAAACTTCAATTTTGTATTTCTTGGCTATAGTACTTAGTCACCACAGGCGCCTGGAAATGCAGCCAGTGCTTGTCTACCTGTAGCTAATAGCAAGCAGATACCTACTGTTATTCTCCCACTTGCTGTAAGGAACTGATCCTCGCTTGAAGGACATTTGTGTAAATATATAGCTATAGAAATAGATTTAGATTTATTTCACCTATGATAAATATGTTGCAAAATTCAAAGTCTTTGCAATTATAACTCAGATTTCAGAGTCGACTTCTTTTTGTTTACAGATATGCAGTTTCCTATCGATGTAAAAACTGTGAGGAAAGATCATGAATTTTTAGATGGAGATGCGATTGAATCACTATTCAGGTAAACATTAATTATGAATCATCTTCAATACCTCCAGGCTCCGTAGTTATTTGTCATTCATCTTTCCATGCCTTACTTTTTGTCGGAGACTAACAAAGTTACCAATGCTACGACTGAAGGAAAACACTTAAGCACATACTTTAGTACCACTGAAGTTGGTTGTTTTAAGAATTTAAAGGTAAAGTAAGCATGTGTCTGCACGTCTTCTTCAGCCAAGGTCTCAGTTATGCTAAGCATCAAATCTATATTTTCTGTAATGTGAAATGTCTGCAGGCTGAGAAAGAACAATCGGTTCCCTGCAAGCATATGGTCGCATGGCAGTTTGCTCTTTAGAATCGCATATTACAGGGTGCAGGGACTTTCTCTGACTAGTGAGCTTCCCCAGAGCTCTTCCAGGAGATAAACAGCAAAAATGATCTGCACAAGAGACACATTTTCCGTTTTGTTTTCCTGAATATTTTTTTTGAGTGAGAAGCAAAGGTATTGATTTGAAATTATTGTTTTGCCACAGCTGTTCACAGCACACAAGTGAAATTGCATCGTCAGTGCAAAGTCAAACTCATTGCTCTTTGGACTTTCCCCATGTAAGAGTGCCAGGGTAGGGGAGAGGCATTCTACTTCACTACTTACCGCAGTTGTGGAAGCCTTCTCGTTATGCGATCGTTTAGCAGGCGAGGTGAACTCCAGACTGTCCATGCCACGCCGCTTGGCTGATCCAAGGGACGCAATAAGAATTTCTAACCCTTAAGGGACTGGAAAGTTCCTCTTCTGGCAAAGTGGTTTGGTCCTTTTCTGTATGTTTAGGTCACCTGAATTCAAATTCTGTTTGTAATGGGAGCACCAGCCGGAGCTGTTTGCATATACATCTCTGACGCGCAGCAGATATTAGAGAAATTTGGATATGTTTTGTTTCTTGATGTGACTTCTGTCCTGAGTGTTCCTTGAAGGCTGCCTCCCTGTTGACACCACATACTTGTTTGACAGATAAGTGACTGACTAGTTTGGGGCCTTATTGATTCCACATGTTTTAATTAAAATGACAGATAATAAATTCCTTCCAAGGATACAGGGTAATGTCTTCATTTAAAAAATTTTTTTCAGAAGCCCACTCCAAGTTCTTTCATTTTCAAAATCTTAAATCAATATACAGTTTTTCACAATCATTAAAGCTCCTCATATGATTTTTAATTAACTGATTAATTATGGTCCTTTTCTCTAATTTTAAGATGGCAGAACTGGAACTGTGAACATCATGGGGTTGTTAGTTGGCGCTGTTTTTGGCAAAATGTATGGAGAACCTCTAACAGAATGTCAGTGTTTGACACCAATAATGAAGACTCCATGGTAGAAGTTTGCAACTAGTTTGGTGCATGTTTGTTTTCAAGAAATAAAATAGTCTAAATTTAAAACTTCTGTCTTTTTTCTTATACCCTAGGCGGTTGAACACATTGAACAAGTGTGCATCAATGAAAGTGGAAATAAGCCGTCAGAGGAAACGGGTATGTTTATTAAAATGTATTATAAAATACAGTTAATTTTCTCATTTAAAATGTGTTTAGCTATTATATCAAAAACCTGGTTTTAAAAGGTCTATAAAGGATTAGCAATTTCTGAACTTTTCTTTCTATTCTTTTCCATCCTGAAAAGCTCTTCCATTTGCATTTTCTGCTGAAAAATGTAGTGATGGAGATTGAAATTATCTAATGTTCATTTTGTAACTTTGTAAGGGAGGTTAGGCGTGCATTTTGAAACAGTTTTTAAAAATAATTTGACACACGTGACTGTCCAATAATTGCACCAAGGCCCCACCTCAGCATGTCTTTTATTGCTTTCCTAAGTAGTTTCATATCTTATTTAAGGACTGAAAGTGAAGTTTCACTCTTATTGACTGAATGAAGGATAAAAAATTAAAATGGACAATCCAAATAGTGTCAGCCAATGTCAAATGTCCAGCCGATAGAAGCTAGACAGGTTTTAGCTTTGTCCTCTCCTGCAAAAAAGTACTGTAGATAAAAGAGGGTTACAGCCACAGCTTGGCTGGTTAACACCAGGATCATAAAGCATCTTAGGTACGGATTAACTGCAGGACTAGCAAGAAAATAATGTCGTCTTTTGGAAAAATGTCTAGTTTTTTGGAAAGTTCCGCTCTGCCGTCAGGAAAGAATGGGGCAAGGCTCCACAGAGGAGAGCCAGGTCATTCCCGTCTCTCTCACAGTTTGCTGGCCAGGCGCTCACTCGAAGGGGAGACAACACAGCAAATGGAGCACCTGGGGCAAATGGCGGTGAGGCTGAGGTCTCCAAGAGGGTGCTCCAGATATTGATGCTGCCACAGTCCCACAGCCAAATGCTTCTTTACCTGAAAATGGATGAGGTTTAGTCACAGAAGCGTGATTTGTTTGGCTTTAGGAAGGGCCATGTAAACCCAATACAATTATCTTTCACAACCTCTGGATTTGCCGCAAAACAGAATTTTTCATCCTCAGATCAAATCTGTCATCTTTTCCTGTGGTAAACTTAGCAGATTTGTCAGCATGCTTGGGAGTAATTTGTCAGCATGTTTTTCAACTAACAGAACAGAGCTCAGGGCAGACCTTCAGTAACTGAATGGTTACATTTCCATATGTTGGTCTTGGGGGTTTTGGAGGTAGGCAGAAAAACTAAGGCTCCTTTTTTGTTACGTTTTTTGATAATTTAAAGTTTGCCAAACTTTGCCCTTGAACTGTACTTTTTTTTTCTCCTTCTAAGAGTGATGACTCTGAAGATGATGAACCTTGCGCAATAAGTAACAAATGGGCTTATGAGAGGTGCAGTCAGAGATGGTCTCGTATCGAGAGCCTAGAAGGTTTCCCAGGAGAGGAAGGTGCTAGTGCCTCGGTCCCAGGCAGCCCAATACTGAAGAGCATCAGCAGCGAGGCTACTATCTTTCTGGATCATGGCGAGAAACATGATGCGTCCTCAGTTCACAGTACTAGCAGTGGTGACAGTGACATTGCTAGCTTCCCAAAACCTTTTGAAGATGTGGAAACCAGCACGAGTTCCTCAAGGTGTTCCTCAATTAAGGTGGCTTCACTGGACTCTACCTTTAGTTGCTCTCCTCCCCCAAGTGAATTTTCAAATATCACCAGTGAGGAGAAGCTTTTGGATAAATCACCATATAAAAAGAGGAAGAGCCTTCTAAAGAAAATGGAGAAGTTGCACTTAAGGAGCTGCAACTTAAGGAGTGGTCAGTCAAAGGCCAAACCCATAATAAGTGAACCTGTTCTTCTGGAAGGACTTAATGAAGAAAAGATGAAGATGCTGAACTGTGTAAATATTTCTGATCTCTCTGGCATCCAAACAAAGAACAATTCTTCCTTTTCTCCCCAGAGTTGCAATAGCAGCCATCAGTCTGAAAATAGCAGCACAGTGAGCACTCCAAGTCCTGTTATAAAACCACGAAGCCACTATGAAGGAAGAGGGGTGTATGCAGAGGACTTGGATTCTAGCCAGCTCTTGCTGTGGAATGATCTATCTCAGCAAATCCTAAAAAATGACATGAAGTTACGAATGAACCAGATGTTTCAAATACCACAAGGCCATAAACCTGGCACTTTCCCCAAAGCACTTACAAACAGTTCCTTGTCTCCCGTAGACAACTCTTCTGTCAACTGGAGAACTGGGAGTTTTCACGGGTGCAGAAGGAGCCAGAGCAGAAGCAGTTCCAAGGACTCCAAAGCCCCCAAGAGCCCCCTTTCATGCACAGATAACAGGCTAAGTGTATATGACAACATGCCCAATATTGAACTTGATAAGCTGGAGGCAGCAGAAGTTGGTGATGATGATGTTTTTACAGAATTGAACAACGTTATAGAAGATGTCAATGGTCTCAAAAAGTTGGTTGATCAGTGGACAGAGAAGTTCTCAGATGACGGTGGTTTGGACTTTGCCAGTGACTTGACCTCTTTATATCCATCTGCACCTAAAGAAATCTGTCTTGAAACAGAGGGCTCAACAGCAGACCTCCCGACCACCGAGGGAGGGAGCAGCTGTGAACTGGGCAATGAGATCAGTTCTGCAGACCTGGCTTCCATGACAGACTCTAAAAAGACCAACAGGTCAGCCATCCTTGGGTTTCCCCAGCAGACTGCCCCTCGGGAACCTTTCCCCATTGATTCTCCCCACTCAAAACGTAATTGCTTTTCCAGGACAAAGTATTCTCAAGCAAGTCTGCTCTGGGTAGCAGCGCGGCACCGCTGGTGCCAGCTACTGCTGCTCTGTAGGCACTCTGCTATCTACAGCTGCTCTGACCTCTGTGAAAGTAGGGCGCTCACAACCTGCATGAGCACTTAGACATTGGGCATCAGACCTTATGGCTAGCTTGCTGTATTTCTCATTGAAACACTCTGTGTTGCCAGTGGACCTCCTGGATGAGAAGTACTTGTTTAAATGCAGCTAACCCTGTGGTGTTTGGGGGCTGCAGGTCATTCAGTCTTCACAGATGCAGGCAGAAAACTAACAGGGACAATGGAAATAGTCCTAATATTGTTTAATATTTATCCCATAGGCACGGGAAGCGACACTGGCCTTCTTGGGAAGCCTTCCCATCCAGGCTGACGGTCAGTCAGCTGCCCAGCTAGCCCGGACACAAAAGCTGGCCTTGTTGAAACTCACTGCTTTAATGGACAGATACTCCCCTTCCAGTAAGCAGGGCTGGAACTGGTAAGTTGTCTAATATTAAAGCAACCTGTGCTAGAAAGAGGATTTGCTGGAAGCAGCTGAATTTCCTTGTCTGCCTAGATCACACACGTTCAGATGAGGAATTTCATCCTGTTAAATTGCTGGCAGTTTCCTGGTTATTTCAACGGCTCCAGGATTTCCCCTGCTATGGACTGCACTTCTGCTCCTCCACAGGGGTCATGTTGCTACTGATTTTAAAGCTCGTTATAGTTTCCTCTTAAAATTTGCCCATTTGCAGGGCTTTGTCAGAGGTCCTTCTGTAGGACCTGAGGTGAGAGCTGGCTGGGCTGAGAGTCTATCTCTTCAGTATCAAGTCCCAGTCTGAACTAAAACAACGACAAAGTCAGTCACTCATAGGACTTAGAAATATCAGTTAGCATCTTGTGATGGGGGTCTGGTACTTGAATATAGAAAAAAGTGAAAAAAGCCTGCAGCGTCCTAAAGGGGTGGAACGTATTTCACATGAGGATGCTTTATTAAAGCTAATCTCAGTTTTGAAATGAGGAAGTCATTCCTGTAATTGCCCTTAATGATTTTCTCTCTTTCTTATGACGCTATGTGTATGGGTATGTGGCATAATTTGGGGATGTGGCAAGGTAACTAAATCCTTTCCCATGCTAAAGTAGCTAACTAAAGTAGCAGGTGGAAGAGCTGGAGAGCTAGTAATTGGATGCACTGGTTTTTGTTTTCAGGACTATACCAAAGTTCAATAAAAAAATAAAAGCCTCTGACTACAAGGACAAAAATGTGTTTGGGGTTCCTTTGCTTCTGAATGTTCAGCGAACAAGCCACCCACTGCCCAACGGCATACTGCAAGCACTGGACTATCTAAGAAGCCACTTTCTTGACCAGGTATGAACTTGAGGCAGCCCAGAGCAGCTCTGCTCCATAAACGGATCCGCTCCAGGGAACCAGTCTCTGCTTCCAGCTTTTGCGAGGGCCTCCCTTGCCTCCTAAGGCTCTGAATAGGCAGAAGGGAGTAGGTCTGAGCAGGTGGCCTGTGAGGAAACACAAGTGCTGTTTCCTTCTGGGGATGCCTTTAGTCCTGTATTGTATTTTTGTGCCTTGCCTCACTGAAATCATCTGCAGTCAGTTCTTGTGGTGCAGGCAGTCAAGCTGTCTTCTCCTGGTGCGGTGGCGTGTCTCTGCTCCCTGGGGAAGTAAATCTACCACACAATGTCATTATTTCCTCTGTTCTGTGGTTGCTGGTAGTGCCAGAGTAATGTGATAATTAATCTTGTTTCAGTTGAAATGTACCACTAAGTAGAGGTAAGACATATTAGAGGAGTGCTGTCCTGGTTTCAGCTGGATAGTGTTAACTTTCTTCCTAGTAGCTGGTATAGTGCTGTGTTTTGGATTTAGGATGAGAATAATGTTGATAACACACTGATGGTTTAGTTGTTGCTAAGTAGTGCTTATGTTAGTCAAGGACTTTTCAGCTTCCCCTGCTCTGCCAGGTGCACAAGAAGCTGGGAGGGAGCATAGCCAGGCCAGCTGGCCCAACTGGCCAATGGGGTATTCCATACCATATGACGTCATGCTCAGCATGTGAGCTGGGGGGAGTTGGCCGGTGAGCGGTGACTGCTGCTCGGGGACTGGCTGGGCATCGGTCGGCGGGTGGTGAGCAATTGCATTATGCATCACTTATTTTGTATATTCGATCATCATTATTATTACTATTATTATTTTCCCTTCCTTTTCTGTTCTATTAAACTGTCTTTATCTCAATCCACAAATTTTACTTTTTTTTTCTGATTCTCTCCCCAGCCCACTGTGGGGAGAGCAGTGAGCGAGTGGCTGTGTGGTGTTTGGCTGCCTGCTGGGTTAAACCATGACAGTGCCTATAACATCTTTTTCTGGATCTCAAATCCGTATTTATCCACTAAGCGGAGATGTGTGCATGGCAGTGAAAATGTGTGTTGCATGTGCTATTTCCACAGCATAGGTGCAGAAATAGGAGACCCCATGACATGAGAGATACTAGTTAAAGAAAGGGCTTTCTTTTTTCTGTGCTTTGCAATTGTATAGATGTGTAATAGTACAAAAATGTGTGCATCCTGTGAAGTTACAATGCAGTTTGGTGGCACATACTGGAGTGTGAGCTGTCTGTTTCTTACAAAGGCAGTGTGTTTTGAGGTCATGGTAGCTATTCAGTTAATATAAATAAACCAATGAATGTAAATACCGTCTCAGTGGCACACAGCAAAACTTTCAGCAGAAGCTTTGTTGAGGTCAAGTTCATGGGAAACTTCTAAATCTAGGTTTTGTCTGAAACTGGATTGACATTCATATTAAAAATAAAATCATAATTTCCCTAGAATGGCAATTGCCCTTTGCCAACCTGTAGATGTATTAGATGTATCAGACATACCAGATGTTCACCCTGAACCTTGTGGCTCTCACAGTCTGAGTTTGTTTGCTCCGCCACAGGCATCAACGTACATTTGCTTTTGGATGAACACACACTGGTGCACTAGAAACTTGCAGTCCTAACGTGTGAACATAGCCTGCTCAAGCAAACTGACAGATGTCGATAGTAATGATTTTAAAAGTAAAAAAGAGTAATTTTGCATTAAATAAAAAGCAAGCAAACAAACATGAAAATTGGTATGTTTTTCACAGCTAGTTCTGTGGGCATCAGTCATGGTTTGCCTGGGAGGAATATCCGTGCTGCTCTAATGACAGAAAAATATTTTGGTGTTAGATCCCACTACCATAGGGTCTTCGCTACCCAAAGGAAAGTGAAGGATCAATTATTTGTCAAGAGTTTTGATTCCTGATGAGGGATCAATTATTTGTCAAGAGTTTTGATTCCTGATGAGTCCTCTCTTTGTCTTTGATATTTTCTTTTACCTGTAGGTTGGCCTGTTCCGAAAATCCGGTGTTAAATCCAGGATTCTGTCTTTAAGAGAAATGAATGAAACCAACCCGAACAACGTATGTTACGAAGGGCAGTCAGCATTTGATGTGGCCGATATGGTGAAGCAGTATTTCCGAGACCTTCCCGAGCCTATCTTTACTAGCAGGCTCTGTGAATCCTTCCTCCACATCTACCAATGTAGGTCACAAAAGCTATAGTCTTCCAGTTCCTTGAGTATCTTAATATTCAGCTGTACAAGGCAGCAGCCAGACTAGGACTAGTGCCCTGTCCCCTTGTAGCCAGAGGAGACAAGTCAGGCAGGACGTTTCTGAAAAGATGAGTTCACTGTGGCTCCGGACTTAAGAGCTTCACATCTGCGTCCTGTGGGCCAGCTATTTTCTAACATTGTGTCTTTTCTGGTCTTTGAAGGATGAGTGTGATAACAAGTGTTGTAGCAGCCCTCCTAAACTGTGTTTTTAAATGGTCATTTCCTTATGCAAAATTAAGAAAGAATCCAGTCCCCTTGTTCACGGTATGAAATAGCGCCTTGTGCAAGAAGTCATGTTATATTGATGAAATGTCTTTATTGAGGTGCCCAAGCACAGTTGCTGTGAAACATCTTTGCCTGGAAACGCCAGCAATTTTCTGTCTGTGCTCTCACTGTTACTGTCCTTGAGACTCAACCTGGAAGAGAAGGAACTGTGAAGCTGAAGTCGAGCATTGAATATAGTTTTAAACAGGTTCCATCTCCAGTACTTTGCCTGTGAGGAATTCACTTTCAAAAAGCAGCTGGGTTGGGGAAGGAACTTGCTGTAGGGACTTACGATGATGTTGCTACAGGCAAATTTCCTCTTCTTTTGAGAAAAGGTTTTGAAAGTCCAAGTACGGGATTTCTGAGTGGGCTGATTTTCAGCTTGTTTCATGTAACTTTTATTGACATGAGTACATGAGCTGCTGCTGTCCTGTGTATGGTGGAGGTTGGTGAAAATTTGGTTGTTTTTTTTTTTTTTAAACCTGTCAGGCTTTTAGAATTTTGTCTGAAAATGGTTTGTTTGTTTGAAGCAAGTTTTCTTTTTGCATCCACAAATCCTTTTTGTAAGGAGGTCCATAATTCCTATGTCCAATGGATGTGGAACCATTTTCTTCCATGTATTATAACCTGGCCACTGTCCACCTCCCATCTCTTGTTTTGGGCTAGAAACAGCAAGTGACTGAATTCTACTCACTCTAATCACCCATTTTGTGCCAGATGTGACTTCAGCAAGTGCCCTGATTACATTACTATCTTTGGAGATAAGAAATACGCTGCTTTCACCAAGAAGCGTGTTTTGTGTATTCTGCGTTG